ATTATGTACCAACCAAGCCTTGTAAGAACTCCAACCGCCATTCACAACTTAGCATGTCCATGCAAAAAGATTTTGTATTTGTACCCTGGACATCCTTGAAAAAATATGTAACTGATAATGTTAGCACAAGGCTGCAGATTTGACAGCAGTAAGGATATTCTGCGAATTGTAAGTGTTCCATTGAAAGCTACAAAGTAAGCACATTTATACCTGGCAAACTTAAAGTCAAGTATTGCATTGTATTTTGGAAATGTACTAATAATCTTACAGTGTAAAGAAGAAGAATATTCCAGGGATTTGCTGTTTTTGTGCTGTATGAGGCTGGCATGGGCATCCAAATGTAAGTACAGGATGTAAAGATAAGGTCAGGGCTTACGGTATACAAGGTACAGTAAACGTGTATTTCAGTGCAAGTCACAGCATATTTGACTTCATAGCTACAGAAGGAATGCTAAGCACACTTATGGTTCAAAACAGTATTGAGTATGTGATATCTGTACAGAAAAGAGACAAAATACAAAACATATCTCTGTCACATATTAACATCATAGTTGTTCGCTCTTTGTAAAATAAATCATTCTTTATCTACTCAAATTATGTAGTATGCTGTATAGTAAATAGTATTTTCTGGTGTAGCACCCAGGGAAGTAAACACTGGTTTCACAGCTATCATACAATTATTTTGCAGTAGTTTGCTACAGTTCAAATGTTACTGTGCAACTCACTTTTTTTTAGTGATGATTGATATCCAAAACATACAGAACTGTTTAAAAAAGGTTCTCTTCTCTCCAAAGCACTGGCACAGAATCGACATTACAATAGGTTTCCTTGGGAGTGACCACAAAAGTACACAGTGATTATTTCTACAACACTTAAAAGGTTGTGCTTTAGTGTAAACATGTAAAAAAATCTCATGCTGAATAAAACATCTTTCTTTTGAAGTTATAATGTTATGCACAATGGCAGGTAATACTGTTGTCACAGTTATGGGTTCTCTCAAAATCAACTGTGTTGCATTATTTGCTACATCTTCCTAGAAGTTTTGAGTCAGTGTATGCATTAGTCCTTGAAAACAGGAGTTATTGACGTTCCCTTGTAGAAAATATTCCGGGCATTATTAGGGCTGTTGGCTCTCTCTGGAATCAAGATAATATTATTGCCTTTTCTCTGGAGCGTGGACTCTCGACTGGAGGTGACTGAGTGGGTTTCTGATGCGGTCTCTCCACCAGCTCCTCCGCCACCACCTCCTCCAGATCCAGAACCACTACCATCCCCTGGAGTGACCCTTATCGTAGACGGACCCTGGGGGTGAACCCTCTGCTCTGACTGGCCAGTGTTCTGGGTGTGAACAGTAACTATGGCTGGGGTGCTAACAGTGGCAGTGGTAGTAACAATGTGATTGGCATGCTTCCTGTCAATGGACCCTTCACGTATTGAGTCAGAGCTCTCTGAGTCTCTATTTAGATCATTGAGCTCATAGGACTGCTTCAAACTGCCACCTCCTCCTGCTGATCCTCCTCCTCCCCCTCCTGCATTTGTCCCTGCACATCCACCTGCTCCAGTGCCATGGTCCAGGGACCGCCACCTCCACGATCCACTTCCATCCATGGATGGAGCTTGGATCACAGGTCTGTTGTTTTCAGGGTGGGCCTCTACTCTGACAATTGCTCCAGTGCTCCCTGCAATGCTGCCTGTGGTACTGCCGAGTGAGCTGGGTCCTGTGGTGCTAGTATGTTCTTGATCATTTAACACCCTATAGTGACTAGAGCCCTGGCAACTCCCAGTGGTGCTGCAGCCTATGCTGCTCTCATCTAAGCTCTTGGAATGGGTCTGTAGTAGGCCCTGCTGCTTGGACATAGCAATTACTTGCATGATTCGTGGCTGCATATTCTGTCCGTTATCATTAGTCCTACAGGCTGCTGTCTTCTCTGCTGCCCTTTGCCAATTAGCCTGAACTATGCTATTTGCTGTTGACATCCCCTCATTTCCTCCAGCTCCTACTGTTCTCAGGGAGGAGGTGTTGTAATTCTCATGAGCTTCCTCTGGTATGTGGACCAGCTGTGAAGACCCGGGTCTGGATTGCATGGCTATCCTGGCCCCTCCGGTGATCCCACTACAGTTACTAGGTAGGGTGGTACTAGTACCACTGGCCAGTTTGGACAAGTATGCATGACTATCAAAGCCTCCATTCAGTCCCATAGCCGATGGCTCAGAGCTGGATCGGAGTTCCATGCTGCCGTGGTGGTGTGGATGCAGGGAGGACTGACCAGATGATGAGTCTACAGAGGAAGAGAAGGAGTCTGGGACCTGCAAGGAGCATTTGTAGTTGTTGTTCTTACTTTTCCATTGAGACAGCAGCTGCTTTGAGCGGCTAGAGTCCATGGAGGCATGGTGGAGGGTGGCAGCATGACGTCTGGCTGCTTCCTCATACGCTGCCATGGCCTGTGGGGTGTGCACTCGAGGAAGGGTGTGGCTAAAGGTCACCATGGCATCTTTGCTATGAGAGCTATGGGGTGAGATCACTTCCACATCTGCACTGGAACGCTTAAGGTTGTCATCAGGCCTCTGTTGCTGAAGACCTCGGTGGAGGAGACCCTCAGAGTGGGAGGTGGGTATGCCTTGCTCTCCAACCATGCTAGCTTTCATTTGCAAGTGGTGGAGGACTGCCTCCTGGCTTATGTGGGGCAAAGAGCAGGGAGGTCGTTGCAGCTGTGGGGGTGGGCTGTTGCTGGCTTCCTCACTAGGTTGAAAATTTCCAACTGCATACAACCCCTGGCGAAACAGTAACAAAGCAATATCACATATAGTACAATAGAGTACATAGAGATTAAGGTATAGAGGGCAGCAATTGTAAAGGAAGTTGTTGATTGATTAAGTGGATTGGCCCCCTACCAAATAGACAGCAATAGCTCCTCCAAGCAGGAAGCCCAGGTAGACGTCAATAGCGTGGTTCTTATACTGAATAATCCTGGTCAGACCACAGATAATGGCACAGATGATGAAGGAGAAGACCAAAAGGGGCTTGAGCAGCTTAGATGAGTCTGTCAAAGTGCTGTTGAAGTACATCTGTGGACACATTACACATTTACTCATTGTCCTGCTTGTACTTTCTGTTCTAACAATGTTTTATTCTTTCACATCACCCAGGCAGTGTTATTTAGCATTTAGGTGAAACAAAACAAAGTGGTTACTCTCTGTGTTGTCTGTTTATTTGAAATGTCAGAAACTTTTCATTTCACATAGTTGGTCATTACTGCGGTCATTCCACAGGCACCCTAAAATCCTTAGTGACAACAGGTATTTTCCCATGGACTCATACTGTATGTTGATCTCTGTTGTACTTTAACACAAATGAAGTAATTTGTATATTGTATATATAAAAACTAGACATTTTACAGATGAATCAATTTAACACAGTAAAGTGTAAATAAAGTAGAGGAATGAAGCATTGAAACAGTACATTTTCATCCCTCAGTCACAAAATATTGGTCCGTGCAGGGTTCAGTGTTTGTGGGTCACAAACCATTACTCACCGACACATAAACAGCGGCAAAGGATGCAAGGGTAGCGTGCTGCGACGGGAAGGATTTTCTGCAAGAGATGAAACCGAAATAGACTCAGCCAATGTTCACATCTGCATGTGTGAGTCAACAGGAAGGGGAGAAAAACACCAGCATAATGAGATATCTCCACCAGCCTGCACACACACACACTTTGATGTTATGGTTCAGATGACTGAACCAAATTATAGATGCCCCTTTTCATCCTCTTTAAGCCATTATTAAAATGTTGGAACCCCCCAAATAATGAATTTCACAACAACAATCTTTTACATTGTTGTGATATGTTTATCTGATGGCACTTGCCAAGTACCAGGAGAACATATAGACATACACACGTCACACATTGCTGGGGAGCAGCAGGCGCTTCACTGTGTAGTGCATACTTAAAGTGAACATGTGGCCCAGTTTTCACTGAGCTCCATCCCAGTGACCTACTTCTGACAACTCCTTCTCACTCCTCCAACCACCCCTCTTCCTTACTCCTGACTTTGCATATGTGTGGATGTGTACATGAGTGTGTTCATGCAATTGTATGTATATATTTGTGTGTGTGTTTGTGCTACAATTGTATGGTTCTTTTACCAATATTTACAACATCTGTGGAGGAATAAAAATGTGGAGGAATAAAAATGTTATTCATTTTGAAAAATACAAAAAAAACTTTAGGAATCAAACATTGTGGATATTGTGTATATAATTATGCATCTGTCATTATAGAGATATCATTATAAACACATATTACTATGGGTTTTCTAAATGCAAGTCTGTCTTAAAATAAAAGTCAAATGACTTTGCGGGCGGCTGTGGCTGAGGGGTAGAGCGGCCGTCCTCCAACCAGAAGGTCGGCAGTTTGATCTCCAGCCTTCCGCATCTGCATGTCGAAGTGTCCTTGGGCAAGATGCTGAACCCTAAATGCCCCCTCATAGAACAAAAAGTGCTGCTAATAGATGCACTGTATAAATGTGTGTGTGAATGGGTGAATGGAAAACTGTATTGTAAAGCTCTTTGAGTGATCATCAAGACTAGGAAAGCGCTGTATTAACACAAACCATTTACTGTAAGTATTACTACTGCTCATATTGGCTGTAAAGAGATACCTTCCAATACACACTGCTCCAAAAAATTAATGGAATGCTTAATCGTCACAGTATAACAGCAAGTCAGATAAACTTCAGGGATATCAATCTGTCCATATAGGAAGCACGATGATGATTTGGTGCAAATGAAATTGACAACAGGTGCAATAGAGAGGCAAAAGCAAGACTACCCTCAAAAAGGGAATGATTTTACATGTGCTGGCCCCAGACAGCTGCTCTCTCTTTATCCTTCCAGTATCTGCTCCTTTGTGCGAGGAGGAAGAGGAGGAGCACTGCCATAGTTCTACAAAATGACCTCCAGCAGGCTACTGGTGTGCATGTTTCTGACCTAACTGTCAGAGACAGACTCCATGAGGGTGGCATGAGAGCCTGATGACCTCTAGTGGGACCTGTGCTCACAGCCCAGCACTGTGCAGCTCAATTGGCATAGCCACTGGTGTCCCGTTCTCTTCACAGATGAGAGCAGGTTCACATTTATATATGACAGGCGCAAAAGAGTCTGGAGAAGCTGTGGTGAACGTTATACTGCCTGTTACATCATCCAGCATGACCAGTTTGTTGGTGGGTCAGTGATGGTCTGGGGAGGAATATCCTTCCTTGACTGCAGTTAGGTACCAGGATGAAATCCTCAGAGCAATTGTTAGACCTTACGTTGGTGCAATGGACCTTGGGTTCCTCCTGGTGCAGGACAATGCCCAGCCCCATGTGGCCAGAGTGTGTAGGCAGTCCCAGTGATTTAAGTGTGATTTTTTTTTTTTGCAGTGATGGGGGAGGAGAGAATGTTTAAGGTATAAATGCATCCTAAAGGTTGTGAAGTTAATATGTGAAACCAGCAGAGTTAGACAAATATAGTGGATATGTACAAGCGTTAATCTTTAAAGTACAAATTGTACTCTTTGCATGCCTTGATTAAGCTCAGCTTGAAAACACTGTGCAGGGAGAAGATGCCTACTTGATTTGACTCTTCAAGCCTTCAAATATTGGAATATTTTTTGTGAGTGAGGAGTGTGAAATCTGTCAGCAATTAATATGTTAGGAAGGGATCTTTAATACCTTAATGGCAGGTATGAAAAGGAGGAATAATTATAGCAGGCAAAAAACAGTTTAAATGTACACATGGGATGTGAGCTTTGTTTTTTAGACTAACTAAAAATATGTGAACCCATCCTTTAAATATTAAATATAACATAATCTACACAATCTACTCCAGCATACCATACAGTATTTATATGCTATTTTTTGATAAATGAGCACCATTCCTTTCTTTTCCATTCTTTGTTGTTGGTGTTGCCACCACATCTTAATAACCGTGAAGATTGGGCTAATTAAACTGATAAAGGATTAAAGGAGAATGGCATTGTTTAACACATTATTTTTACATGTAAGGAAACAATATCACAGGCCCTGTTCAGACCTGGCATTAACATACATGTCAGTGGACACATGCTTCCTCATTTGTATTAATCAATCAATCAAAAGTTTTGACTGACTGAACAAATTACCCATAAACCATTTTTATACTTCCTGTGAAATGGAATACAGTTTAAGATGTGGATTCTCAGGTATCACATTTCCTGGGATTGAAAACTATCTCCCCCTGTGTGAAGACCTAAAGACTTAAGCCAGGGAACCTCAACATGGTTGTCTGCTGTCCTTAAGATGTGCACCGAGAGTTACAATATCTGTAATATATATATGTAAATCCCTCTAGCAAGAGGTGGGTATATACCCACACACCTCTGGAGGATTCCAAATGACTTTCGTGACCTCTTGGCTTTTCCTTCATCTTCCCAATCATCCCAATTTAATCTGTTGAACACATTTAGAGCATTCGGTTTTAGGATGACATCCAACCCAAATATTAATGTGTCATAGTGTTGCTAAAGGGCGACAAGTAGCATACTATGCTATTTCTGCTATTAACATAGGCTTATAATACCCCTGGTGCACATTTGCTGCAGCAAAACAGCTCTGGAAGCAAGACTTTAGATAAAGCTAGCAAAGAGTGAGCAGGAGACTGTTTATGCCAGGAGCAGTAGGTTATATTTAGACTCCCATAGTCTGCAGACAAAACTACATGTGTCCCAAATGGACAGGTTAAACCCAGTATCGCTCCCCATCCCGGAATCTATTCAGGCTGTCTCAGAAGAGTAATATCTAGAAAAAAGCCTGACCAATGACAACTAAATCAAAGGGAATATTTCTCTGTCAGTGAAGAAATTAAACATATTGCTTTATTCCTTTTTGTGACCAAAGTAATCCTGCTGTGGCTCACTTAGATAAAATGGATTTGAGTAAGATGAAAACTAAAGTTAATAAAAACCTAACAGACATCAAGGCAACATGCAGTGCCTAGGTAAAACCTATAACTGCCACTCATTCAATTGCAAATGTATTGTCTAATATCAATTTTATGGACATTTTTTATTTCCATAAATTGGCTCAGTTACAAACTGAAACTGTTTGATGTAATGTGGTTAGTTAGGCCTTCTCTGGTGCTGCTGCCAAGCTCTGGAACAGTTTCCTGTCTCACATTTGGCCCTGCAGCACCATTGATAATTCCTACATACATATATAGTTGTTGTAATCATGGTCAGATTAAGTTGTTTACAGCTCCACCACAGTGATTTTTAAACATCTAACATTGGTTCATTTCAATACATTTTGAAATGTCAAGTTTTTCACATATAAAAAAATAACAAATGAAGGATCAAGTCAAATAACTGAAACAGACTACTACAGTTACAGCAGTAACATGCTATGCCTCAATAATAATCACTTCTAATGATGTCAGGTATAATATAATGAGCCACAGGGACCAAATATCTAATTTTACAGTTAAGTTTTTATTATGCTGATGACGAAAATAAGCCATATTTAGGGGACTGATATCTATGAGTGTGTGTAATTCGGTGCATCTTGATCGATTTTAAGGGAATGCTGGTCCTGAATGGAGGCATGCACTCAACTGAGAGCCGTTCTAGATTAAATTCAAAGACGTCACTGGCCTCTGTTATTCCAGCTTTGTTCAGTTTCATTCATAGATTACAGGCAATAAAAGAGTCTAACATTTAATTAGCTTTTTATTTGGGTCTAGCTACTGGACCTGTGTCCCAATTACCCACCTCCGCATAGAGAGCTAATAGCGTTTCATAACATACTTAGGATTCAAGCCCCATTTCCAGTGTGTATTAATTTAGATTTAGTCTGAGGACCTCTCTATATGCCGGATTCTGAGTTTCATCCTCGTCCTCAAAGTAACCCATGTTATCCATATCTTGCTGCTATCAAATACAACACTTTGTCCTGGAAATAAATTGAGGATCTAAATAATGTGGCCCAAGTCACATATTTCTGTGTTGTGTTCTAAAACAGAATCAATTAATTCAGTGCCCAACCCATTTCAAGCTCTCTCTGTGTTGTATAGAAACTTTTTTTTAGCAGTTGGCTTCTTCTAACCCTTTTCAACGAACCTCTCCACATCTGCAACAGCCATCTTGATTGTTAACAACATTGCTTCTAGACTAGATTCAGTACAGATGGAAATTTGTTTGAATTTCTTCAGCTATATCAACTCTTGGTGGAATAAAAATTTTGCCAAATTAGTTAGCAGCAGTTTCTTGCGATGTACTCATGGATGACCATGGCCAAATCCAAAACAACTGACGTTAATGGAGACCACTTCTTCAAATGTAAAAAAAACAACAGAAAAGAAACCAGAAAATGCCTCCATTCTGCTCTTGTGGTGTCATCCAAGTTCGCAAGTTTTCGTTGATCTCATCTTGTGTCCCTTTAGCGAGAGCATAGAGGCTAGAACGTGTGCAGTGTGTCCGGCGAATGTGAACTTCACTTCACCCACCACTCCATCAACATAGTGGTCAGTAGATAATGAGTGAATTTTCATTTTTGGGTGAACTATCCCTTTAAAAACCATGCAGAGTCATCTTTTTATTTTCATTCTGTGCTATATAAATGTTGACAATGGATATGGAGACAATGGTATCAGTGAGTGATGCAAGTCTCAGTGAAAATGAATGTGTGTCATATCTGTGTTTTCAGATTGGACTCAGAGAACGAGTATGTTTATTACAGTTTCATCTCATGCAGTAGCTATGCCTCTCCTTCAAATCTGGCCCCATAGGGAGGCATTTCTCTTTTTCTTTTGGCTTTGACCTGCTCAATGTCCATGTCTATTCCAAACCATATTCCAATTTATTAGTTACAGGATAGATGAATGATAACAACAAACTAAAAATCAGTTTCAAATTGGTAGTGGAGTTGAACAAACCCCTAGTAGATATTTAAGAAGCTGGTATCTTGTATAGTTTACACATTGTGTTAAAACTGGTTTCTTTACTTTCGTCTCTATAAAAATGTGCATCACAAAGCATATAAACTTAAGTGACAATGACAAGACCTTGATTTTGACTTTTGAATTGAATAATTTTAGAAGACAAATCAAATATGTTAAATATAGCCAAAACCAAAGTGTTTTTCCCCCCTACCTGCCCTGGTTGATGGCTGCGAGGTCAGCCCCTGAGCAGATATCCTCCATGACATAGGGGTTCTGTTCACAGCTGACGTTCAGCGTGGTATAATTGGGTTTGCACACAGTTAGGAAGTAGGGTGTTGGGTAGCCTGTCATCAGTTGGAGGATGTCAGTGATGAGGGCCGTGGCACAAAGACCAAATGCATGGACACCTGAGGATAGAATAGGATGTGATGTTAAAGCAGGGAATCCAGCTTAACATGCAGATGCATAATAATCGATTGCTGCATGCACTTTACAGGGCCAATATATACACTTCAGGCAGTCTGAAGTATTACAGTTTTGATAACTGACATTGAAATTCACACACAGATATCAGTTCTATCTACGGAACATTCTTTAAAGGTACAGAATGTGAAATTTTGTGATATCTAGTGTTGAAATTGCATGTTGCAGCATAATACCCCTCACATCACCCTCCCCTTCCAAACATGAGAAAGAACCTGTGGTAGCCTTCAGTTTTCATAAAAACTCAGTCCAGTCTGGACTAATGTAAAAAACATGGGGGCCTCCGTAGAGAGGGTCCTCTCAATGTAAATATAAAGTATTTAAATATAAAGGGCCTTTTCTTGGGTAAAGAAAACTACAATTCATACAATTTAGATGAAATGAACCAGTGAAAACATCATGAGGATTATTTTACATTAAATATCTGCCAATAGATCCCTTTCACCTAAATCTTACACACTAGACCTTTAATGATGACCGTCAAAGACACATGCATGTACACATATTGATAATGTTCCCCCTTTGCTGAGAAAATTTAGCATAAACTTAGTTAAAGCTACTAAATTTGAGTTTTGGAATTCAGGCAACAACTAGCCTGAGCATCAACCCAGCCCTCCAACTACTTCCTCATACACTGTCTCAACTAATCCAGGAGTCAGGAGCTTTGCTCGCCCTTGAGACAGATGTAACGATGCACTCCAGCAGCTAATACCAGCAGTAATCGACCAGAGGCACTTTCATCCTGACATTGGCCTTCAATGATTAGTTATAAGGGTGACACACTCAAAACATAATAAGATTATATAATTGCACTGTTTGTTTATAGCATAGTTCACTCAAAAATATTTTTTTTTTCTTTATTTTCTAATATAAGAAAAAAGTAGTAGTGTAGTTTTAAGTAAATTATGTTTTTTGCTCCTTTAACACATTAGCTGCAAAAAGTTTTACTGCCAGGACAGTGACAAAAGACAAAAAGTCAGCGTACCAACAAATCGGACACCTCTGCGTATGAAAGAGTTGAAGTTGCATCCAGCAGCGTTGATGTTGGCCTCTGTCGCTGCACCACTCTTCCTCCGAGACAGACAGCAGAACAGGATGGCCTCTCCAATCATAATCTGTTAACACAACAACAACAACACATCTGTTACATGTGTAAACATGCAACATGCTGTGTGAATATAGGTGATTGTCGCTTGTGTCGTAAAGTGATCGATAACATGATTGATAAGATGAATATTAATGCTCAATGCAAACTAATTAGTCCAAACTCTCAAAGACAGGTAATTCAGATGGTTATCTTTATATTCAAACCTTAATTTACATTACATTATTTTGTATCCTTCAGCTCTCTGCCCACCTTCATTTCTACTGACCATGAAAACTGTCCACTTCACTGGAAGACTTGTCTACAATGTTATCAGGGGAGAAACAGGTAGACATTTGCTTTTTACTTCACAGAGAGTGAATCGAGACATAGTTTTTGACACTTGTGCAATCGCTAGAGTCGTGCATGGATTCTGAGAGATACGTAAACTCTCAGTGTATAACTGCAGAGCAACTCTCGAGGATCACTGAACACAGAAGGGGATGGAGAAAAATGGGCAGTATATAGTGTTGGATAGGAGCGAGAAACGACCTAGAAATCATAGCAAGAGGAAAATGGACTTCAGTATCAGTGACGGACATTGGGAAGGATTAGAAGTACTTAGAGGGTTTCTAAGGATTCTGCATAATACTGAGACTGACACACAGACAATGCAGTTTTTTACATTCTCTTTTGCACTTCAGTAGCTTAAACAAGTTGATGGAGCTGCAGCAGCTCTATCAACCACAGCCTCCATCTTTTCATTTGAACTAAAACTGCTGCCAATCGCTGAATATCTTTCCCAGGGGCACCCAGTGTGTTTTAATGATTTCACCAGAGTGACAATAATTTTAACTGAAGTCAAACTGATTTTCCCATAAGCTCTGCAGGTGAGCGGTAGCTCTAACACAGAGTGTCACTTAAAGCACTTGAATACTCTGCAGCTTGTATTCGGAGTCCTGACACGTATATAGAACATTCTCAAATCTTCTCCTGCTCCACAAGTTGCTGGGAGATGATGTGTTATATGCTAATATGAGGAGTACTGATCTATTCATGTGTAAGGGTAAAACAAGAAATTGAAAATCTTAATATACTTTTTAGTTAACTAGATGTTCTATTTGCAGCTCATATATCTCAACATAGCAATAGCGATTGCTAATCAGCCTGTTAGCATTGTCAGCATAGCTTGCTAAGCAGGTCAACCGACAAACAAATCACAGTGGGGAGAGCAGAGAGCTGATTATTTGTCATATATTTTTGGCAAGTTCATTATATCCAATACCTACCTATATGTGTGTAAACATACATAGATATAATAGGAAAAGATGATTATTTGCAATACAAATCTAATTCTATAGTAAATTAAAGATCAGAGAAAAGTTGTATCATCATCCTTTTTGCCAGACAATCACTCTCGCAGTGACTCCTGGGTTCATTCTACTTTCATTATGGTCTGACCACATACTAGGTAATACAGTCACCATTGTCTCCTTTTCTATGATGGGATTGGTTTTTACTGGCATTCCTCCAGAGTGTTGTGGCAGGAACAAACATCCTCATCCCAAGCCCTCCCCACAGGAGTGCCACAAGGCTCTTTGCTAGGGCCCCTTCTCTGAAATATACGCCACTTCTTGGGTAGACGTGGTTGTCATGTATCACAACACACTATTCTTCCCTACCCATCTTTCATCCGTCTTCCTGTCATGTTGCTTTGTTCTACACAACATAAGAAAAATCCAGGGTTACATCCTCTTTATATACAGTCTATGGTTACATCTCGATATATCACTTAGTCATACGTAGTCAGACTGTGGTTCATTATGTTTAAATGCAGCCTTATAAACTCTGGAGCGAACCAAACAAACACTGAGTAAACTTCATGTTCTGATCAGGTCCTGATAACTTGTGATGGGTGTTGGTGTTTATTAGTTAAAGTGAGTACAGGTCAGCAGGAGTGTGGAGGGAGGACACAGGAAACTCCTGCACGGTACAAACCAACCTTCTGATCACTGAGCAGCTGTGGACCATAGTGGAAACTCTGTATTTTCAGTTTGTTCCCACTGCTCTTCAACACAGACTTCACTTTAACTGGTACTGCTCCTCTTACTGTGTGTGTCGCTCTGTGTGAGTGAGTGGGGGCGGTCCCCCAGGGCTACGTATAGGTAAACTCCAACTGGCTCAGAGTCAGGGTTAGGGTTAGGGTTAGTGAGTCTGGGAGCATGCCGCACACACATACACGCACTTTCACTCAATCTGGTATTTCATGTGATGGCCTATACGACAATGATTTTTGTGTTGTAAAGCGGTTTTAACGTTTAACGTAAACTGATTTGTTCAGTTCAGCGCTGAAAATATAAACGCTGTTCATGCACAACACTGGATGGCATGGGGGAATTGTTTGTGGGTATTCTGCCTCAGCCTAAATGGTAAATGGTCTGTACTTATATAGAACTTGATAATCCCACCATTCACACATTAAAATACTTGTAGACTGTTATTGTAGTCATTCTTTACCGTTAGCTAATGTCAAAGTGGGTAAAAATATTTAGTTTTATGTCAGGATAGGACTGACTGCTTTCTGGGCCAACCCGTTATCAAAGGGACAAAATGTAATTGATTTCAAAATTATGCTGTAAATAAGATTTAATCTAACTATATGAAAGAAATTCAAATAGATGTTTCTCTTTCCTATAAGCAGAAAGGCATTCAACTGAAACAAACAACTTGGCCAGATACAGCTGAGACACTGTAATAGCTAGCAAGCAAACATGAAAACAATAACTCAGTGAGGTTCCATTGAGTTTTCACAAAAATAAACACGAGAGTTAACCACCTCTTGCTAGTCTACTTGCATGTTTATATACAGGAACAAAGCATCATGTAAAATCCTGCTAAATGTCAGTGTAAGTTTGCTGTCACGTCATTAATCCTTACCGTGATGGCGGGTCCGGCGAAGGCCAGACTGAGCAGCATCAGCAGGGGGATGACCTCATGGTTGGGGTCAATGTAGGGCAGACTCAGACTCCGGTCATGGCAGGTAAACCCAGACTTCACTGGCTTGAACACATCCGTCCACTCCAGGAAGTACAGACTGACCACAGATGATACCAGGATCGGCAGCTATCGATGGACATGAGAGTGAAAAGCTATGAGAGGGTTCAGAGTCATTAACAGCTGAGGCAGAAGGAGCTTTAACAGATTGGCAATGAATAAATAAATAGATAAACAGGCAGTTAATGCTGCAAATGTGCCCATAACTCCATGGTTCAATGAACATGCTAATTTGATTTGATAATAAGGACAGAGGCATGGAAAATAGTTTTCCTGACCTCGGGGGGGTGAGGATGGTGCTGAGGGGAATGAAGGCATGTGGAAATAAATGTTCTTATGAACAGCAAGTGCTCCCACCGATCTGAGCTCAGATTCGTGGATGAAGTCTCCTCATCCCAAAAAAAATAATGAGAAACAGCCAGTTTATTTTTATTATAGCCAGCTTGAGGTCTAAAAGTCATAAAAAAAGGCAACAGTTCAGTCCCAACTGTGATATAAAGTTTCAGTAATAAAGCTGGTGTTGATCTCAGTTGAACAATCAATCAGTGGGCCTCAATGCTGTGTGCAATATAGCCATTGATAAACTGTGCAGAGGGCTCAGCTGTCATGTACATGTATGCTGTAGATAGCCATCATAATCTTTGCTCTGTTTGTATGAGAACTCTTCTTCAAGATAGCCCTTGTGTATTCTACTGTTTCTTATTTCAAAGAGTAAAAACAAGTTTTTAGAACGTTGTTCAAGCTAGGCCCGCTATTTTATAAGTTTATACGTTTACAGTTTTGCTGTTCTGCACTGAGATGTTATACAACCATCTACAAATAAAATGTGTAACACTTACCATTTAAATACAAGTGCATGAACATGTTTGATGCATATGTACAAGAAGCTCATTAACGTCATTTACACTGGTCTAAATTAGTCATCAGTTTGTGCAACTTGTGTGGAACACTGCTGCATCCCAACCACAGACAGAACATTTAATTGCAATATCGTGATCCTGATCATTATTCATCCTGACCTATATATAAATTGCTACATGGGCAAGCACCTGGCTTCCTCTCAATCTTATTACATTACATAACATTTCATTTAGCTGAAGCTTTTATCCAAAGCGACTTACAATAAGTGCATGAACAATGAGGGAACAAACCCAGAACAAGAAGAATCAAGTAAGTACAATTTGCTTCAAAAAGCCAAACTACGAAGTGCTACATGTATGTGCCGCATAAGTGCAACAATATATATATATATATATATATATATACATGCATATTGGAGTAGATCAAAATCATAACTTTTTTGCTTTATTTTTATGGTGATCATATTATTAAAAAAAAACATTATTTATGAGATATGTAATTTCATTTGGGGTTTTTTGCACAATTTTCCCGTTCCTCTGTGTTCTCTTAAATCTCTTTCTGCTGCCTCTGCTCCTTTTGTACTCAATGTCACACCTTAGTTTTGTCTTCCCATCAGTTATTTATGTAATGACACATAATAAAGCTTCAAATGTCTCATTCTCTAAGCCAATAGATTTGGAGCAAAGAACCTATGAAAGAAAAGCTTTGCCGATGCTTTTCTACGTTGTGAGAAGATTTGCGTAACACCAAACCTCATTCTTTTCATTTTCATGATGGTTGTATATGGGGAAAGTATTTTGTGGAGAGCTGAGGAATTTTACCACAAAAGGCTACTGGGACAAACTGGGTAACATTTATATCTGCACCTCTCTTGTATATAGAGCATTTGTAGACATAAAATTATATCTGTGTGAGAAATGTCTAGACACTTTTCACAAAACAATGTTGTTGCATATGTTTGCATGCAGTGTGTATGACCCTAAACCATCAAATCATATTTCATCTTTTTTGTAAGCAGGGAGTTTTCATAAAAAAATTAAAAAGTGACAACGTACAACAAGGAAAGAGTTGGGCTGAAATGGCACAAAGGATTTAACTAAATGAGACCTACACGTCAATGAAAAGCTGGTAAAAAAAATTGCATCTCTTAAGGAAAATGTGAGCACTTAAAATAGACTTAGGAAATAAGAGTTCTGCTGCAGCTCTGTTGCATCAGAATTTTTTCCCAAATGTTTTTCCAACAACCCCCTGGCTCTGTGGTGTCCCATGGAAGAGTAGCACAAAGAAGTGAGGTGCATGTGAAGGCAGAAAGCTGATGCGTAATTGAAGTCAGATAAGTAGCCCGCAGTTAGATGTGTCAGTGGGAGTTGAATGTGGCCTGGAGCATCATGGGTTTTATCATGCAGCTTAATACCCTGACTCACTGGTACACAGTGGCGGGCGCGCTGCTCGCTCAGCTAATGCTAAGTAGAGCAGTGTGATGGAGGAGGGCCCCACTGGGAGCCCAACAAAGGGAGATCTCTTCAAGTCGACACACTCCTGCTGGAAGCTGAGCTACTAATACACAATCATGGATACACACACACACACACAACCACACAGAGAGTCTCTGTTTGGAGACTTCCTTTCCTTTGTGTGTCTCACATTTATGCCAAGGGTTCATCTCTAACACTAGTTTTCTTGTCCTTTAATCCTGTTTTTTTTCTATCATTCCCTCCTTACAAAAATATGTAAATATGAACCAATCAGTTTATTTAACATTCATGGGTGTTGATGGATGAATGAAGGAATGACAACCTATAAACCTGCACACAGTACTGTCAATCTCTCCAACAACACAAGGCCATTTTAAGCCACTGATTAGCAGAGAGCTTTTCTGAACTCTAACAGTGTTTTTTTGTTCCTTCAAAGATTCACTGTGGTTTATACTGAGCCATAACTCGATGCATATCTGCATGAAGCATCAAGCAAACAGGATGCATCCTTACTGGACCAGCTCCTGCAGCATCCAGCTGAGCTCCACACCACCAAACCCCTCCCCCCTTCTCTCTCAGGTCTGTTTTCTCAGCTTACTGTCAGCCTCTCTCACCTCTCGTCCAGCATCTCAGCTTGGAGAAATTAGATATGTAGGTCAGTGGTGTCAACGCTCGCAGTGCTCATGCTCTGCAGAAGAAGCTGCTCTATGAGGAATACTGTACTCTACATAATTCAAAGAAGATTTTTGCATTTGATATGTTTCAGTGACTAATCACATGTCTGTGTTTTATTCAGTTTTAATGCTGACTTAAGTAAACAGTTTAATGGTAAAACTGACAGAAAAATGTCCAGATATGTATATATATATGTATTCCCAGGGTGATCAAGACCTATGCACATGCTGCTCACATCACAGTAAGCAACATAAGTAGATTTCAAACAAATGACTCAAATGCACAGGAAAGTAGGAAACCAGGGTAATATCAATTCTCCATGATGCTTTCCGCAAAGCAAGGTGTCAATAGCTATTGGCCAGATTGTGCTGGATTTAGGCAAAGCATTATTCCACACAAAAAAATAACCCAGTCTGAAATGCTAATCTAAATACAGTCATCTACAAACCCCCACCAAACATAAAATTAGTGCAAGAACTTGTTCCATTCAAGTAAAAGGAATATATCAATCTACATTAAGTTGTCCAGCAACAAAATAAATGAAAACCAATCTCTGACTAAAAACTCCCACACTTTAGATCAAGGGTATTCAATTAGATTTAAAAAAATAGCCTAGTACGTGTATCAATGTCTGGAGTCAAAAACTGACATATAAAATAAAGAAAGTACAATTCAATACAATTTCAACAAAGTACAATTCAATACAATTTCAACAGTGTTTATTATTAATTTTCACATTTAACTGGAAGGTACTCTAATAATAAAATAAATGTTTGAAATAGAAATAGAAACGCTCTGTCAAAATCTAATAATAGGTCTGGGTTCATATAGAAAGGCGCCTGGGTCCGGTCTGGATCGTGGCAGAACTATTGGTGACCTATGCTTTAGATGATTGTGGGCAGTTTTTTCCACTTCAGCTTGCTCTAAGGGTGAATACATGCTTTACTAGGTGTAGCCACCTTTCTGAGAAGTGAAAAATCTTCAAGAAACTCAGTCCAGTTGACCTTTTTTTTCTTTTTTCTTTTTAGCACTTGGATCCATGTTTCCCTGGTTTAGGTTAGGGTAAGGGTTAGCGTTAGGCAAGTGAGGGTGGCATGCAAGGAATAACTATGGTTAAGGTTGGAGTAAGTATGATGTCGCCTTAAGTCACGGAGACACAACTGTATGTGTGTGCGTGTGTCTGTGTGTGTGTGTGTGCGCGCTCAAGTCTATTGTCAGTTTCTATGTCAGTGCCAGTAACCCCTAAGCATTATGTCATTATCATGACAAGTCCTCACAATGACTCACAGACAAGCTACCAGCAAACTATTGTCAAAGTTTACAAAGAGCAGTAAAGAAATCTTCAGCGTTTGCTCATATCCTGACTGCTTTACTGATGACCACAAGGATCTTTGCCTTTGTTGGCCATAATGCTGTCTTGTTGAATATGTGTGATTTCAGCTCAGCTAAGAGACATCTACTCTCATGGATGCAGGGACCAGTGACCATGGACATTATTCAGCATATACTTTGGAAAATGCTGAATCACATCTTTGAACAACAGTGGATAGATTATGTCTGTTTATATGCTTCAATTGTTCTGACAACGTTGCATATTGATTTTTTTACACTTACCTTGAAAAATCACACTTAATTTAAAATGCATCAGTGGACCTCTTACAAGAGAGTGTGAGATCCTCTAGCTATGTGTTGCCAAAGCTTGTACACAAGCCATATAAAATTGTATCTGCCACAATGCACCAAAACAAGCAGAGCACATTCATTCTCCTCAGTGGATAAACCCATCAATGAGCCCATGAAATTGACTTCCTGGACAAACTCGACATCCATATCTCTCTATGAACTCCAAAAAAAGCTTAATAATCACTGCTGCCTCGAGGGGTCATTAAAGTGATATTTTGTCACTGTGTTATTTTTTGTTGTGCAGTTAAAATGCAGTTAATTTTCAGCTTTCTGCCCTGAATTCCTCACATGTTTAAATTTGAATGTGTTTGGACTTGTGCCATTCAGCACTCCTCTGCGAGTTTTCCTGACTCTGCTGGCTCCCGAGTGTTCCTG